GGGCTGCGGGCTGGTCGCAGCAGGGGGCGTGCGGGGGGCAGCCGGCGGGTGGTTCTCTCCATGAGGTTTCTCTCTCCCTCCCTGAGATCAGTAAGAACGAGCTTTAAATAACTTAGTTCAGTGTGGCTAGTCCCACTGCTCTTCACTCCGGAGGAAACGTCCTAAACGCTGGTTTGTGAGAGTGCCCTCGGTCTGTCACCCGCTGCCTCCCGAAGTGGGGGAGGAAGGGGCGCAGGCGTGTCCTCTCGCCGTGACCGGGCCGGCGCCCCGCCGCTGCCAGACCCTGTATTCGCTGTTCCCGCTTTTGAGAACCACCGCAGACATGTATCTGCAAAGTCGTGCTGTTCTTTTAACTTTTTAGCAATGCCTGGGTGAGAACTTCTCTTTGTAGTAAAAGTGCCTTTGTGGTTGTTAGCACTTTTAAAATAGATCACTGCTCGAAAACGTCTATGATATTCCTTTAAAAAAAAAAGCAGAACTTCTCCATGGTGTGTCCTCTTAGTTAAAAAATAGGTGAGATTTTCTCCCTAAGAGGTCGTTGCTGAATGTAGCGGAGAAATACTGTAAACAGCACCTTAAACAAGATGCTACATAGTATGTGTATNTCGCAGACATGTATCTGCAAAGTCGTGCTGTTCTTGTAACTTTTTAGCAATGCCTGGGTGAGAACTTCTCTTTGTAGTAAAAATGCCTTTGTTGTTAGCACTTTTAAAATAGATCACTGCTTGAAAACGTCTATGATATTCCTTAAAAAAAAAAAAAAGCAGAACTTCTCCATGGTGTGTCCTCTTAGTTAAAAGATTGGTGAGATTTTCTCCCTAAGAGGTCGTTGCTGAATGTAGCGCAGAAATACTGTAAACAGCACCTTAAACAAGATGCTACATAGTATGTGTATATTGTCAAGGATATAGCAATGGGAGGGGAATTTAAAAACTAACTTTCTACCTTCAGGGTTAGAACTCTTTTTTTAAAATATGATTTATTGATTTCAGAGTGAGGAAGGGAAACGGAGAGAGAGAAACATCGATGATGAGAGTCATTGGTCAGCTGCCTCCTGCACCCTCCCCCCCATTGGGGAAGAGCCCACAATCTGGGCCTGGGCCCTGAATGGGAATGAATGAACCTTGACCTCCTGGTTCACAGGTCAGGCCGCACCACTGAGCCTCCATGGCCGGGCTCTAAGTTAGAATTCTTTACTGTTCCTTTAGTAACTTGTTTGCAACGCAGGTCCAAGTTTACTCTCAACAATCAGTGTATGTCCTTTCACCTGAGAGGTTAGAGAGGCGCGTATTAGTTTTCTTCTGCTGCTGTCAAATTGAGTGGTTTGAAACAGCACAGGTTATCCATACGGTTCTGTAATCAGGCTAAACCCAGGTCTCACCAGGCTAAACCCACGGTGCCGGGCAGAGCCACGTTAGTTCCTGAAGGCTTTGGGGGAGAATTTATTTTCCATTCAGGTTTTTAAGCAGAATTCAGGTCCCTGACCTTCTGGGACTGAGGTCCCTTTTTTCTTGCTGACGTTCCTTGCTCCTAGAAGCCACCCACATTTCTTCTACCACTGGCCCCCTTCCTCCATCCTTAAAGCCTGTAATAGAGGTCAAGTAACTCTCCTCTTGGGATCTCCCCTGCTCTTCCGTCTTCTCACGTCTCTTCTTCCTCCCCTCACCGGTGGGGGCTCATTCCTGTGATTGCACTGGGCCCACCAGATGATCCAGGATACTCTCCCCATTTTAACGTCAGCAGATTAACAACCTTAAATCCATTTGCAACCTAAATTTCCCTTGGCCTTGTAGAGTTGGCAAATTTACGGGAGTGACGTACCCACCCATCCCATCCCGGTGGAGCACCATCTAGAATTTCCTGTTCTCCTGTCTACATACAGCAGCCGTGGGTTAGCCTATTGTCACTTAAAAAAGCTGAACTGAGAAACCTGCACTCCCTTTAGGGTAGGTTTAGGGAGTGCTCCTTGGTAGTAGCTCTCTTACCTTGTGTGTGTTTTCCCTCCAGCATTACAGACTTCCTTAGTTTTCTCCAAGGATTTCGGCGTGCTCGTATTTGTTCGGAAGTCGCTTAGCCTTGATGAAGTAAGTTGAGAATTTTCCTTTTGCCTTCCTGGCATGTTCCTTGGCTTAAATCTTACTCCTACTTGCTACAATGCGTCTTTCTTTTATTATTACAGTTTCGTGATTGTCGAGAAGAAGCCCTAAAATTTTTATGTGTTTTCTTAGAAAAACTTGGCCAGAAGATCGCACCGTATTCTCTCGATATTAAGGTAAGGAGGGGCAGGCATACCGCCTCATGCGCCAGCGTTCGCTTTAGTTTGCGGCGTACGTTCAAGTTGGATTTTTATTTTATTTTGTCTCAAGGGTAGGAGTAGCATTTGTAGAGTACAAATTTACAAAGTTTACCGAGTTCTTTAACGTACAGCGTGTCATTTTATTGTTACCAAACCTCCGTGCGGTGTTCTTCATCTCCCTGGTTTACGGGTGAGGTTAGCAGGTTAAGAAACTCACCCAGCCTTGGAACTGGCCGCCGGTCCGCAGCCCCTCCTCCTCCATTGCCCGGGCCGCTCCGGGGTCGAGCCCCAGCTTTTCTCTGGATTGCTGCAGTTCCCCTTCTTGTCCTTTCTTCTTTCTTTCTTGATACGGGCCAGCAGTGCTGTGGGACGTATAGAAGGAGGAATAGCTTTTCCTTTTGTTTTTTTAATCCTGCTGAGGTCTCCATGGACTTTGTGGGGGTGTTTTTGGCGATTGTTGATATCATTGCCGTCGCACATTGCGGCAGTGTTCTCAGTAATTCTCATCCTGTATGTTTGTGTACTCTATGTTATTTTAAACAGCTAAATATTAAAATTGTGCTATGTCATATGTTGGTATTGTTCCTCTCCAGAGATGTAGTTTGGGATTTTATTGATTTTTTGTTTGTTGGTATGTCTCCTTTTAAAACCTAGAATACTTGTACCAGCGTTTATACGAAAGATAAAGCTGCTAAGTGTAAAATCCCAGCCCTCGACCTTCTTATTAAGGTAATTTTATATTTCTAAGTGCATGTATTTTATGTTAAACAAATAACTTAAAAACTGGAAACTGGAGCTTTGGGTGAGAGATGTTGGAGGACAGGCTCGAGTCACACCGGTGTGTGGATACGGTGCACGTGGCCAGCCGTCACCCACCGATACCTTGGCATTTTGTTCTCAGACTCTTCTGGGTAGCAAAAGAAGTATTTGGGGTTTTGAGGAGACTGAAGGGGAAAAATAACTAAGAAATGTACTGCTTCTCCACTAGTTTCATTACCCTTGCTCTTAAAATTACTAAGAATTGCCAAAATTCACCTCATTGTGTTTTCGAGTCTTTTCCTAAAACCTTACCAGGAGAATGGGTCTGTATGTTGTAGTTAAGCCGTCGCTGGGACTCAGTCTCCCTGTCTCTCTCTCGGGGGATCTCTCTTTTTGCATCTCTATTTTAGAATCCCTTTAGGTCCTGCTGGTCCTTCAGTGCCTCCAAGAGAATGGTTCTAGTCCTGTTACTAGTTTCTCAGAAAGTAAAATTAAGTTTACACTGTCTTCCCCTCTGCCACCCCCTCTGTTCTTCCACCACCCACCCGAGCCCCTACCTGCCCAGTCATCTGGCCCTCAGGTGAGTCCGGAGAGGCCAGGCTTAACCCCGTAGAGGCGCATGATTCTGGAACTTTGCTGTATGCAGACTTACTTAGGTAGTTGATGCCTTTTATTATTTTCCTCTCGAGCCAACGCTTGTTTGCATTTTTTTTTTAGTTACTTCAGACTTTGAGAAGTTCTAGACTCATGGATGAATTTAGAGTTGGGGAATTATTTAACAAATTCTATGGAGAACTTGCATTGAAAACAAAAATACCAGATACAGGTGAGATGCATTTAAATGTTACTTTAAAAGATTTTAACAAGTTAACATTAGGCATTATTAATATAAAACTTAGATTTGTCTCTGCCAAGGAGACAAACAGTTATATGTTTTACAGATGAATCCTTTTTGCTGAAAGTGAACCAAAATGGAAACAAACGATGTGTGAAGACTTCTGCTTATAAAAATCTTAATCTTTACAAAATTACTTCTTTAAATATAAATCTCATCATACGTGTCAAATGTGATTTAGTTTATAATACTAGATTTGTATAAGAGTTACTAGGAAAGATTCTAGTACATAAAACTAGATATTTTGTATGTTTTACTTTTGAACTAAATCTCGTTTTCTTATTTGTACATTTTTGTTACTTATTTAAATGTTACTTTAGATCCTTATTTATCTAAAATTTATGTTTCAGTTTTAGAGAAAATATATGAGCTCCTAGGAGTATTAGGGGAAGTTCATCCTAGTGAGATGATAAATAATTCAGAAAAACTGTTCCGGGCTTTTCTTGGTGAGCTTAAGACCCAGGTGCGTAAACGTTACGATACTCGGTTTCCTTAGATTCGGTTGTATTTCTATCTTTTAATGGTATCTCCTTAAAACTTTCTTTTTAGATGACATCAACAGTAAGAGAGCCCAAACTGGCTGTCGTGGCAGGATGTTTGAAGGGATTGTCATCGCTTATGTGTAACTTCACTAAATCCATGGAGGAAGGTATTGCTTGACTTCACTCGATTGTCCTTCTTTATTCAAAAATTAAAGGTCTACAATAAGTTACCCGTTTGCTTTTGGAACTTTTAAACCAGTTTCGGATTCCCAGACAGTTGTGAAAAACAATGCAGAGAGATTCTGTAGGTTCTCACCCAGTTTCGGGTAGTGATGCAGCAGCACAACCAGCGTGTTGACGTTGATGAACCTACCGACCTTGTTCAGATTTCACCAGTTTTCTGTGCACACATTTGTGTGTCTGCACTCAGTTCTGTGCAGTTTTATCCTGTGTAAATTTGTGTATGCGCCCCCACAGTCAAGATACCAAACAGTCCATCACCCCACGGATCCTTCCTGCTAACCTTTTTTATTTTTTTGTGTTTTTATTTCAAAGAGAGGAAAGGAGAGGGAGAGAGAGACAGAAACGTCAGTGATGAGAGAGAATCACCCATCTGCTGCCTCCTGCGTGCCCCCCACTGGGGATGGAGCCCGCAACCTGGGCATGTGCTTTGACCGGGAATCAAACCCGAGACCCTTTTGGTCTGAGGGCCGACGCTCCAACCACCGAGCCAAGCCGGCCAGGGCGTTTTGCCTATTTTTTAATTGGATTGTCTGGGTCTCATTGAGTCGTATGTTAGTTGGCATATACTATGTGTAGAATAAGTGCTTGGGAGTGTTGGGGAAATAGTGACGTGTGGCCTTTTTTAATCCTCTGCAACTCTAAAAGAAGGCAGATAGCACCCCTTTTGCAGATGAGAAAACTGAGGCTCAGAGATTTTCTAACAGGTGGTAAGTGAGTTGAAATATAAGTTTACGTCTTTATTATTCCAGGTTTTCTTCTTACTTTACTGAAGTAATAATCGTGCAGCAGTAATAGTAACTTGCAGCTCTCTAGCTGAGTTTGATAATAGAAGGTGTCACTCCTGGGTTTACGGAGACTGGGGGGGTTCATACAGATGCCAAGCTGTCTGAAATAAAGTTGTTACCTGTGACGTCATTTGTGAGGTTTGTCAGATGATACCGACAAACAGTATAATTTGTAATTTGTAACAGAGTCTTCTTTTTTTCCCTTCCCCAGATCCCAAGACTTCAAAGGAGATTTTTGATTTTGCATTAAAGGCCATTCATCCTCAGGTAGGATTAATATTATTCAGATTCTTTTACAATGGGACTTGTGATTGTCAAACATTGACGGTAAATTTTTTTTTTTTTTTAATAGATTGATCTGAAGAGATACGCAGTGCCCGTAGGNTAAATTTTTTTTTTTTTAATAGATTGATCTGAAGAGATACGCAGTGCCCGTAGGTAAGATTCTATATTTAATGAGGTAGAACATTTCAGGTTATTAATGTCTTTAGTAAACTTTTACTTACTTAAGTTACAAATGAAAATAAATGTGGCCCTAGGGCTGATACCTGGATACCCTGAGCATGAGGCTGACTCACAATAAGCAGCTGGTCTAAGGGGGCGGGGTGGGGAGGGGAGGAGGGGAGACGAGGGGAAGTTTTTGGAGACTTGGTGTTTAGCATGCACATTATGGTTGAGATGGTCACACCTAGATTACATGATGTAAACAATTACTTCAGAGCATATTTTAGGGCATACAGATGGTTTGCTTCTATGCCTGAACTTTGTTTTGGGGTAACCGGCCGCGTCGAGGGCCTGTTGATTCAGTGCGGGGTGGCAGTCAGACTCCGGTCAGGCCCCTTAGGCCACTGCAGTGTGATGACGGCGGGTCTTCGTGAACCCAGTTTTAATTTCGACACACGCTGAGGCTTTCTTAGTTCCCTGTGGTGCCTTTCGTGGTCCTGTTCTAATACAGCGGTATTTGCACCTGCAGCCGGCTTGTGCCTGTTCACGCTGCACGCGTCTCAGTTTAGCACCTGCCTTCTGGACGACTACGGCTCTGTATTTGAAGTACTGTCAAGGTGGTGTAGCCACACGAACGTAGAAGTGAAAAAAACTGCGCTTCCCGCTCTGGAATCTTTTCTGAAACAGGTACTAAGATTTAACTTCCATTTTAAAATATTCTTTCCAGGTAAAAAATTAAATTCCATTCTTGTGCATGCACATTTGAAAAGTAAAGACATTTTTGCTACTATAAATATAACACTTGGAAATAATGCATACAAAGTATGTCGAAAGTACAAAAATAAAAAATTAGAAACATTTTAAATTTATAAACGCCATAGTATGTTCATAAATACAGTTTGTGGCCTTTTTTTTTTTTTAAATGAGATGCCTTGTCTTTCTGATTATTAGTTCTCAACTCTATTTTGTGTTGCTAATGAGGCTCCCAGTCTGTTGATTTCTGAACTTGCTGGCTGCTGGGTGGGCACAGCTCTGTGGTCCTGTGTGTCCCAGATGAGTTCTAAAGATCAACTCAGGGAGACTTCATTCAGAACTTTTTTGGGGGGTTTTGTGCATATGTCTTCCGGTATTTCCCTGGTCCCTTCCAGTTCCATTTTCAGAGAAAAATACAGCACATATAACAGAGCCTCATTTAAGGGAGTGCCTTCTCTGAGCTTGATGGAGACTAAGCGAATTGAACCAGTGGTTCTTTATGAGTAAGTGGTTGTATGGAACTAAAACACAGTAACGATTTCTAATTAAATGATTCTAGCCTTTCTCATTGGCATAGAATGCTTTGTTTTGCCACCATAAATCTTTTAAAAGTAAGCATTATGCAATTGCAGGTTTCTCTTTTGGTGGCAAAAGACGCGGACAGGCATAAAAGCAAGCTGCAGTACTTCATGGAGCAGTTCTACGGCATCATCAGGAACGCGGACGCGAGCCCCAAGGACCTGTCCATCGCCATTCGCGGATACGGGCTGTTCGCAGGAGTATGGCTCCTTCGCTTGCTCTCGCCAGCTTGGTTTCCTTTGGGCGTCTAAAGGAATATAATGTGTTGCATTTTTAAAGCATCTCATACTTGTGACGATTCTCTTGCCATTTGCTTTCCCGTTAACTTGTATTTTCAGTGTCTGCTGTTACTAGGATTCTGTGTCTGTGTTATCTAACGCCCTCCTGCCTCCCCTCCGAGCTTCCAGGAGTCTTCCAGCTTTGGATTTAGTGCTCAGTCTCCTGTCCTGGCTGACTGGCCTCACGGGGCTGGGACAACATGTTATCCGTCCTCGACACCTACTCTCTAAATAGCTTAGAATACAGTTGAAAACCTAGACGTTTTGTGTATGAATGAATGTTTAGAATGTATAAGATGCACCGTATTTCCCATCAATTCTCCATTAGAAAGCTTTTCGGTATTTAGTTTGTAACCACGGTTTAATAAGACACCTTGAATATCACTATTTCAATACTGATGACATGGATAAAGGTTTACATTTTCCTTTCCTACAGTCTTGCAAGGTTATAAACGCAAAAGACGTCGACCTCATGTATGTGGAGCTCATCCAGCGCTGCAAGCAGCTGTTCCTCACCCAGGTGGGCGCCGACGACGACCATGTGTACCAGATGCCCAGCTTCCTGCAGTCCATTGCCAGCGTCTTGCTTTACCTTGATGCAGTAAGTGGAGCAATCCATTAAACTGAGCATGATTTGCTTACTCTCAGCCCTGCAGGAACTCGATGGAGTCATGTGGATTGTATGCACTCGGTACAGGCCTCATTATGATCAAGGTGACGTTTTTAATTAGCATTTTGTGCCAACAGGATTATAGTCATGAAACTTCAGGGAAAATGATCTGTTGCTCTTTCTACTTTTCTAAACAGTTAAGACTGCTGCTCGGGATAAAATTTCATCTTTAGCGTCATCCGGACAGTTTTTCTCTGATTTTTAGAAATGTGATCACAATACTAATTGTTAAACTTATCAGTAGATGGAGATAACAAACCGAGTTTTTCATTGGTCTAGTACGTGTCTGACTGGGCTGCGGTTACTTTGAATATTTATATTCCCGTATTTATTTATTTTCTCCCCTAACCTGTAGTTTGCTCTCTGTTTCTGGCAGGTGCCTGAGGTGTATACCTCAGTCCTGGAGCACCTCTTGGTGGTGCAGATAGACAGCTTCCCACAGTATAGTCCAAAAATGCAGGCGGTGTGCTCCAGAGCCGTCGTGAAAGTTTTCCTCGCCCTGGCAGAGAAAGGGCCCGTTCTCTGGAATTGCATTAGCACCGTGGGTGAGTTATGATGCCTGACGTGTTATACAATGTAGATGAAGAACTTCCGGCCACCAGGTGTTTTTGTATCTTTGGATGCCTCTCGGAGAAATCCTAATATTTTGGTGGACCAAAGTCTCCTTTTTCTGTGCTTTTTTTGAATCTTTTTTTTTTTAAATTCCTCTTCCTTGTCCTTCTGAATCTTAGTCCAGATTTTAAAATGAGAGATTTTAACAGACTGAGAGAAAAAAATTGAGAAGTAAAGTTATGTTAAAAAAAGCAGTGGCTGTCCTTTATGCTGAGTGTTTGGTTGTATCTTTCATTGTTTTCTTCATTTTTGTTTCCGTTTTCTTTTTTCAGTGTATCAGAGTTTAATCAGAATATGTTCCAAAGCAGTGGTCCTTCAAACGGTAAGTTCTGAATCGAATGTTTTGGAAATCGGTCCTTCGTCACTGGAAGTTGGACATGTTGCCGGGGCCTGTGGTCTGTAGATACGTATCAGTGGCCCTTTTTGTCGCTGGCCGCGCCTCACAGTTTGGGAAGTGTCGGAGGAAATACCTCTGTATTTCTTCAGGCAAATAAACTCCTAAGCTGTGAAACTCCTTAAACATAAATTTACTCTCATGTACACATTTTTACAAAAAGAGGACGTTTTCTCTCTTGAAATTTTAGGACAAAATACTTAGATATATTACGGGACCCGTAGCTTATTACCTGGTTATAGGAAAGAGCGTGAACAGCAATAGACGTGTCTAAGAAAGTGAGGTGACTGCCTTATAACACGTCCCAGGGATATTAGCACATCACTATGTTAGTCCCAGGTAGGAGAATCATGACTATTTTTAGCTTGCTTTTTTTTTTTTTAAAAAAAAAATGTATTTAATTGATTTTAGAGAGAGGGAGGGAGAGAGAGAGAGAGAAACGTCAATGATGAGAGAGAGTCATTGATCAGCTGCCCCCCAATGGGGATCAAGCCTGAAACCCGGGCATGTGCCCTGTCTGGGAATCGAACCCGCAACCTCTTGGATCCTGGGTCGACGCTCAACCAACTGAGCCACACCAGCCGGGCCCAGCTTCCCTTTTTATTATGCTTGCATGATATACGGCCTTCTTCAGTCGTGTTATAGTCTCCCACTGGTAGCTGTTTCAGCTTAGAAAGTCCTGAAAATCAGAGCGTTCTGGCAGCCAGGCTTGTTTTGCAGCTTCATTAGAAAGTACAGGTACGATTGCTGTCTCCTGTCCAGGGTGCTGAGTCTGAATCAGAAGAGTATCGTGCATCGGGGGAGGTGAGGACCGGCAAGTGGAAAGTGCCCACATACAAAGACTATCTGGATCTTTTTAGAAGTCTTCTGAGCTGTGACCAGATGATGGTAAAGTGACGATTTTAAAGCCCTTAAATACCCTTGTTCCTCTTTATTAGCCTGCATAGTTTATACACTTAAGACTTAGTTTATTTCAGAAGTATATTTTACTGACTTTCAATCGTTTATTTAAAAAGTACCGCAAGTAATACAAAATCAAATCAGTGTAAGTTAGGATAAAGTGAAACTAGGAAAAGGTAAATTAAAAGGAACAGAATTATTGGTGGTCAGTGTAGCGGAGGAATATTTCAGAAAAAAAAAAAAGTGATGGAAAGCTTATAACCCCTCTGCGAATGAAAGGCCCGAGGAAGAAGGGGCTGCCTTTGCCCCCCGGGTCAAGTGGTAAGAGGACAGAGGGGAAGAAAACCGGTGTGAATGTCCTCAGTTTCCCTGTGAGACAGGCTCCCCCTTGCAGCGTTGGTCCCCGACCAGCCAGCACTGCCGGTGCCGCCTCCACCCCACAACAGGGTCACCTGGAAGCTGAGGCCGTAAAGAAAGAATAAAAGCAGAGGTGTTCCTGCTCTTAAAAAACAAAACAAAACTAAATTAGAGAACTCATTTAAAATTATTTACTGAGCCCACATTTTAGTGTAGTATGGTTGATGCTGTTTTCCCAATAGAGCCAACCAAAAGCATAACAGTATTATCTCCGTGAAGAGCTGTTCTCTTATCTGTTAAAGGTGAAGAAAATCCAATTGATTTAATAACTCTGAAGGAGATTGGTGCACAGCTACTGTTTCTGTCACCTCTGGTTAGAGTAATGCCTCCTGCCTGGTGTGTTTCTAGCAGGTGTTTTTAAGCAGGTTTTGTCCGTAGATGATTTCTATCCTGTGAAGAATCTCAGGAGTTTTCAGTTGTTTTCTTATTGAGGTAAAATGGCAGTGTTAGTCATTTTACCTAAACCACTTCTTTCTTATATGATGTTAGATAGGCCGGTATTTTGAGGATAAGTTCATAGAATATTTGACCAAGTAAAGGCCAAGTAACTGGCTTATGTTTTTGGAACTGTAAATAGTTTCACTTTTAAAGAAATGATAGATTATGCTTCTGAATCCATCCTGAGGATAGGTACGTATTTATCTAGATGTATGTACGTGTGAGTGTACATATGTTGTGTGCATATAGTATACATCTGTATACACACACACACACAAATTAATTGGGGGAAATGCTTCGATCAGGATTGGCCTAAATCTTCTCACTACTATTCACTTAGTGTTTGTGATATGACCGGATAAGTAGTATTATCTGACCAAATTGGTACTGTCCCCGTAATTTAGGAAGGTGTGTACAGTGTGAGCTTATAAACTTCCAGATATACCTGTTACGGTTTGCACAGCATTTTTCATAATACCTGAATATGCATGTACACCTCTGTGTGTTTTAATGCTTGCTTAGTACTCATTTTGATACATTTATGCACAAAATCTTGTTTGTGTTTTTTTTTAAAGGATTGTCTTTCACTAGACGAAGCTCTTTCCTTTGGGGATTCCTCCCTTCAAAGACTGAATCGTTTGCTGTATGATGAGTTTGTGAAATCTATTCTGAAGATTGTTGACAAATTGGATCTTACGCTAATAAAACAAAATGTTGGGGAACAAGAGGTTAGAATTTTTGTCACTAATGATTTTGCAGCATTTTTGTACCAGCTCTTTGCGTAGATACAGCCCGTTTGTAGGGTGTTGCAGGAAATTGGTTTCTTCTGCATTCATCTGTGTTGCTGACACTTTTCTAATAGCCTAATGTGTGTAAAATGGTCCCACTAGGTTTTTCAAAAGGCAAAGGTTTCAAAAGGTTTAATATGTTGAAATAATTTTTTTGTGAAAAATTGTATACAGGCTTGTTTATTAATTTCTTGGCAGCAGTCAAGAGTCACATCCTATTTTGTGCAGAGGTGGCTTTGTAGTAGGACAAGGAGACCAGGGATTCCTCTTGCTTGCAGCTCAGGAAACACTGAGCTCGGGGTGCACAGTATTAAATGTGCTCTTGAGAGAGTAGAATATAGACAATAGGCAGAAAAGGACCCAGTTTTCATGGCTTTAGGCTGCTTGCTGGGAGCTGCTTTGCTCTTAGCTGAGGTGTTTTAAACAAAGCACTGGTGGGCCCGGTGATTTTAGGGGGGCCTGGGGGCTAGATTTTGCTTGTTAGAGTTAGTGCCCGTGTGTGGTACCGTGAAGTTAGACACGAGGCAACGGGGTGGGTATGCAGAGGATAGTCCAGGAGGCAGGGAAAGGCCGTTTGTCTGTTGCAGGGACCTCATTGCATTCGTAATGCTCAAATTTGTGTGCTGGTTGATGGGCACACCAGTGTGTGTTTTATCGCTTTTTATGCTTTGTGTATGTTGAAAATAATTTTATTAAAAAACTTGCCAGAAGGCCTTTTGCGGAGCTGTGTCGGCCAACACACCTGCTGTTCAGAGCGGGCCTGCCTGCCGCGTCCCTGTGTCTGGGGTTCCCCTCGCACTCGCTTTCCCTCCCTTTCTGCTCCCGCTTTCCCTCCCTTTCTGCTCCCGCTTTCCCTCCCTGTCTGCTCCCGCTTTCCCTCCCTCTCTGCTCCCGCTTTCCCTCCCT